GAAATAGAAACCAAACTGTGTTTTAGTCGAAATAGAAACCAAACTGTGTTTTAGTCGAAATAGAAACCAAACTGTGTTTTAGTAGAAATAGAAACCAAACTGTGTTTTAGTCGAAATAGAAACCAAACTGTGTTTTAGTCGAAATATAAACAAAACTGTTTGAGTCGAAATAGAAACCAAACTGTATTTTAGTCGAAATAGGAACCAAACAGTAATTTAGTCGAAATAGAAACCAAACTGTTTTAGTTGAAATAGAAACAAAACTGTGTTTTAGACGAAACAGAAACCAAAAAGTGTTTTAGTCGAAATAAAAACCAAACTGCTTTAGTCGAAATAGAAACCAAACTGTATTTTAGTCGAAATAGAAACCAAAAAGTGTTTTAGTCGAAATAGAAACCAAATAGTGTTTTAGTCGAAATAGAAACCAAACAATTTTTTAGTCGAAATAATAATCCATAAATCTCAGCTCTGCAAATAGTTCCTTGTATCTCGAACCCACCCAGATATTNCCCCCCCTCCAATCCTTACATTCTCCAGCTGACCTAATGTTTAAAGACTAGCTATGTTTACGTGTGTGTCTATACACACAAGAAAGAGGAACGGAACGTATCTCAGGGTTTTTGACGGATTGATGTGTTCCAGCTCCAACTTTATAACTAGATAAACATTGTTTCACATCCCTCATCTGCATACATTGACTCAGCTAAATCTTTAAATTTGATCTTTTTCTCTTCTAATCCCTTCTCTTCACTATTCTCTTTCCTTAATATCTTGACTTCTCTTCTCTTTTCTCTTTACTTCTCTTCTCTTTTATCTTCACTTTCATTCTCTTTTGTCTTTACTTCTCTTCTCTTCTCTCTTGACTTCTCATTTCTCTTGACCTCTCTTCTCTTTTCTCTTGACTTCTCTTTTCTCTTGACTTCACTTCTCTTTTCTCTTGACCTCTCTTCTCTTTTCTTTTCACTTTTCTTCTCTTTTCTCTTGACTTCTCTTCTCTTTTCTCTTGACTTCTCTTTTCTCTTGACTTCTCTTCTCTTTTCTCTTGACTTCTCTTCTTTTTTCTCTTCACTTTTCTTGTCTTTTCTCTTGACTTTTCTTCTCTTTTCTCTTGACTTTTCTTCTCTTTTCTCTTGACTTCTCTTTTCTCTTGACTTCTCTTTTCTCTTGACTTCTCTTCTCTTTTTTCTTGACATATCTTCCTTTTTCTTTTTACTTTCACTTCTTTTCTCTTTTGTCCTTCCCTTTCCTCTCTCTTTAAGAATTCACTTTCCTTTTCTTTCTCTTCGTTTTCTAAAGTTTCCAAGTAAATTCTATGCTTTCCCTTCATGTTTATGTTCAAACTCCAGACACAGAGCGGAACATGTTAAGATTTCTTCCTGGTTTAGAGGTTTAATTTCAATGTAAATATGGGCCTACAGTCAGGTTTGTGTTAAAGCTGCGATTTAGAACCAGGTCTAGGTTTAGGTTTAAGTTTAGTTTTAGTTTTAGGTTTAGGTTTAGGTTTAGGTTTAGGTTTAGGTTTAGGTTTAGGCTTAGGTTTAGATTTGATTTATGTTTAGGTTTAAGTTAAGGTTTGGATTTAGGATAAATTGGCTGTAAAGAACTATGTTTATGTTTAGGTGTCTAGGAAAGGGCTTGGGGTTGGTTCAAGTTTAGGTTTAGGTTGCTCTTTTCCTGTTGTAAAAACTTCCTAAGTCCAGACTGGGATCCTCCAGCAATCTGTCTCATCTCCTTGCTGAACCCTCGAGTACCAAACTGACAGGACAGATCATGCAGAGTTCGGGGACCTAGATAATAATAATGATAATAATGGTCATGATAATGATAATAATAATAATAATAATAATAATAATAATAATAATAATAATAATAAAGGTATGTCAAGAAAGAATGCTGCACATGACCGGATTGTATTAACGTACATGAACAACGGCAAATAAATATGAATACTGTATACTCTGCACTGTGCAGTATAATAAGATGCAAAGATAAACAATATTCTAATCTTAAAACCCCATTATCTAAACTACAATAGGAAATTAGGTTGAAAATTTAAATTCTCATTTCTTAAAGTTTATTTCTTCTTTTTATTTTCTTCTTTTCTCCTCTAATAGCTTTGAGTTTGCACTTGAAATGCATTAAATAATTTGCAAAAAGTGGCCCAGTGAGAATTTTAAGAAAGGTCTCTCAATCTAGAATTACAATTTCCTAATTGTCCTGAGCCTCCTGTTTTATCATAAATGTGTCCCGAGCCTCCCGTTTTATCATGAATGTGTTCCGAGCCTCACCCTTCATTATTAAATTGTTCTATTGTGGGTTCTATTAAAAGTGACTTTCGAATTTCTACTAAACAGAAACAAAGGAGTAAATTGTCAAAAATAAACACTTTTCAAGCTCAAAATGTTCGGAATTGATCAGTTAAAGGTTTAAAAGGTACAATTGGGAATCGGATATGCCCCTATTTAACAAAAAACACTCCCTTTAAAAGGTTTTTAATCGTTCTGATTATGAGAATCTAACTAAATTCAAAAGAAAAAATTAGTTGTAACGTAACCAATCAATATTGAAGATTACAATAAACGTGTTCACAACTGAACCCGTCATCCTTGAAAAAAATTAACAACTACGGTTTAAATCTTTAAGATATAAAAAATCCCATCATATAAAATGGTTGTGAATCGTTTGTGATACTCTGAAAAGGAAGTCCCCTATAATTACACTGGTAATCCTTTTAATCTATTGTTATTGATTAAACATTATGCTGAAATAAACCAAAACAAAATGTTATTTTATTTTAAACTTTTTGTTTACAGTTGCAGGGTGTCAAGATACTTTTTGCGTTGTAACAAAATCAAATACACTTGATTATTGCTATAATGTCGTCTTCCTATTACATTGCGTTCTGGTTCTAACTGTTTGTAAATCCCACGGAATAATGTAATTCTACTTCGATATCCATTGGTGGTCATACCCTGCGAACAACTTTAATTAAAAGATTTAAATTTAAAAGCGCCCACATTGGACATCGAGATCAAACGTTCAAGATTAAAATTTCCGATTTCAGATTGTTTCTGGTCTCGACAGCAAGCGGGAGGACGATAGGAATATTTCAAGGTTTCCCGATTGCATGAATTTAGATTCAATGACAAACTTTCTGAACATGAAATTTCATAAAATAACAAAAGGAAGAACTCATGATTTTCTACAAGACGCATCCCTTAAATTTCCTGAGATAACACATTCCATTTTTTGGATGGGGAACCACGTATAGCCCCCCCCCCTTTTAAAGCCGAGCTCTATATATATATATATGTATATATGAACCCTGGTTATACTGTCAATATTTTGACAGCTGAACAAGAATACTGATGTTAGATCATTCATTTGTGTCAACGGACACATATATGGAGCTAAGGAGTAGCAGAGGAGTTTATATATTGCTGAGTTCTTACTTAAAACGTGCTGATGGGTAGCTGAGGAGTTAATATATATGAAGATGAGTTTTTGTTTAAAACATGCTGATGGGTAGCTGAGGAGTTTATATATAAGGCTGAGTTCTTATTTAAAACCATGCTGATAGGTAGCTGAGGAGTTAATATATATGAAGATGAGTTTTTGTTTAAAACATGCTGATGGGTAGCTGAGGAGTTTATATATAAGGCTGAGTTCTTATTTAAAACCATGCTGATAGGTAGCTGAGGAGTTAATATATATGAAGATGAGTTTTTGTTTAAAACATGCTGATGGGTACCTGAGGTGTTTATATATGGAGATGAACTTGCTGATGTGTAGGAGATAAGTTTTTTTATTGATCTTAATTCTTATTGAAAACATGCTGAAAATAAGAAATTTTTATATGAACCCGAAGTCTTACTAAAACATGCTCAAGTCCAAAATTTTATAAAGATTTATTATGATAAAGAACAGACAAATTTTAAAACAATTACTTACTATACAAATCCGCTTTGCACCTATGCATTAATGTAAACGTACAATTACAAATTAATTGAACTAGATCATGATTTTCTTATTACACGATAAGAGAAACTTAGTATTTATAACTAGTACTTCAGCCAGACTGATATTTATTAACAACATTATTGGTCAAAGGGCTTGTTTAGCTTTATTTTTATTTATTACACCCTCACTAAACCCGCTATGTCTTCGGTAAGTGTACTGCAGTCCGCACTTTAGTTTAGTTTAGGGTACTTAGTTATCTCTGGTTACATCTTAAAGAAAAAATAATAAAAGATATATTCGACTTTATTTTTAATCATTGGTTATTTAAAAAGTATTTTTATTACTGACTCAGAGGTCAAAACTTATTTGTTGTGAATCTCAGGATCAAGCGTTGATCCCTACCCTGCTGCAGACCTAGATATAATTCATCTTGGATATCCCCATGGTGGTCTGCCACGCAGGGATAACTAAAATGAATAGATCAAATACTTACTCTCAAATTTAACTGTTGTTATTTAGTGAAAATCGAGATCAATCGTTGGAGATTAGCGCCATTTTACATAAAAGTTTTGACCTCTGATAATATTGGGAAATTATGGTTTGAAAAGGTTTATTTTTACCTTCGCTATAATTGATCATTCCTTTATAAAAAGCTGGTATTTTGGTATGAAACAATTTTCTTTAATCCCGCCAGGATATTTTCATTGAAAGATAACTTGAAAATCTACAAAGGCAAAAAAATCCGCAAAATCTGCAAGCCCTCGGGTTTATCATTGAATCCCCTCTTTAAAAAGCAATGTCATTTACTCTCAACGCCCTCGGGTTTATCATTGAATCCCGAAGGGGTTTAAATTTCTATTGATTCTAATTTGTCTGAGAGTAAATGATACATTGTTCTTAGATCTTGGAATAAAACAAAACTGAGTTACTCCCAATAAAAATAAAAAGCTTCATCAATAATTGGCGTTAAACCCCCATAGTTTTAAAACAGAACGATCCCATTAATTCTTCTGTAAACACAGTTATAAAATGTTATATTAACTATAAGTATATCTAAATAATATTTGTCTTGATAAGGAAAATATCAATGCATTGATAATCTGTCAAATTGGAGTTTTCTTACTGATAAAAAAAAGAATGACATTGATGTAATTTTAATGAACCACAATTTAGCGAGTGCCACCAACGATTTATAACGGTACCTTGCAACTGTAATAAAGGAGAAATTGTGAACAGATAAATTCTATTTCTAAGAATTCCGGTGTTTCAACAAAGAAAAATTAAGAAAAATTCAGGATTTAAAAAAAAATATCTGTCATTCTTACAAAAAAAGGTTTAAAGGGTTTCATTGAGAATCGTTTAACGCCTTTTTTTAAAAAAGAAGTGCCACTGATAAATGCGTCGACCAATTAAGTTTATGAACCTGTATAGATGTATTTTCCATGTACGAAAATTAAAGGAAAACGTGATAATTTTCCGAAAGGGCAGCATGTCATTTTATAACTTTACAAACCATTATCAATCCAATGGTAAGTTTTTGAAATAGCAAAATCATTCTTGATTCATTGTTGTTGAAATACTTGAAATTGTGTCAACAATAGGATTGCGTAGGAGTCGGTCCAGCCTAGCGCAACTAAACATGCGAGGGGACAAAAACATCAGAAAATCCACGAAATATCATGGTCAGACACAGGTCATTTTACACTTAGAAATATTCATTTCTCCCTGGGGCCGGCTACTCAATTTATTACTTATTGCCTATGCTGAGTATATTCCTATAAGGTATGTGGTATATGTGGCCTGGGTAGAAACTAGGCCTCAAGGCATCAATCTTAGCTCTAATAATCTCATGCCTAAGCAATAAAGGAGGATGACGAATTTCAATGTATAGAATTGAAATTCAGGGAGAAAAGTTTATGTATCAGGGTAGGATTTCTGCAGAAAATCGTTTGATCAAATAAGAGCAGGAAGATCATTGTAGTAGGATTGGATTAAAGCAATCAGAGATGGAATTTAAAGAATTTGATGATAAGAGAAAGATCTGAGCAGTGCAGGGGTGTGACAAATTTTACAAATAAATTCATATCAAATTTCATATCAATTTGATATGCATCAACATTAGATATTTGTAAAATTTATAAAAAATGTGCTGACTAATGAAAAATAAGTCATTTAAAGCAATGTTCCAAATTCTTAAATCTATTTGATATAATCATCCATTGTTAATGCATTGAACATTCATTCATTGAAAACAATTAATATTTTACGGAATAAAAATACAGAGGTTTAGATAGATAGATAGATAGATAGATAGATAGATAGATAGATAGATAGATAGATTAATAGATAGATGGATAGAGGGGTTACTAGATATATGCATAGATGGACATAGGATAGATAAGAGGGATTGATAGATAGATAGATAGATATATAGATAGATAGAAAGATAGATTAATAGAAGAGTCTACCCCCCCCCCCTCTCTTGTTAAAATTATTAATTATTATGCTCTAGAGAATATTTTAAATTCTGATTTCTATAGATAATGATTTTTATTTTGGGATTTGTGTTGATAACTTAGCAAACAGTTTTTATTTAAGATCCTAAAATTAAAAACTGAAGGCGCCTTAATCTTGCAAAGCAAGCATGCAATGAACCATTAGGGCCGACAAGGTGAATATGAAGGAGGGGGGGGGGGGGTTAACATTATGTCTCTAATTGGAAGATTTTAGAGTAGGCATACTGTGTGGGATGAGATTAGAAACTGTATTTTCTAGTTTCAATTCCAACATTAATTCGCCCAAGGAGAAATGAGAACTCAGCTCGTTCAAAACCAGTTTTTTGGTCAAAATATCGACTCGTTTGCTAAAAATATCATGTTTAAGCAATCCTAAAATATGGTTTGGTTCTCTTCTAAAACCCTTCCTATAAAACATTGAACAAACGTCACTTTTTACTCCAAGAGGTTAACTATACACGTGAAGTTTAAATTACTGTTAACGCCCCAAACTGACACAAAAAAGTAGCCTCAAAGGGAGTGTTTTAAAATTTTGTTGACTTACATAAACTTTTTTAGATGAAATCCAAATTATTCAACTGTTATAGAATAGGGTTTTGTATTTACTGTAAGAGAAAGGTTTGAAGTTGACATAAACTCTTTCTCGAATCTGTGACGTCATGAAGTTTAAACAAAAAAAGCAAGTTGTAATAGTTTAACTACACACACATGCTTCATTTAAAAGCTGAAAGTTTTTTATTTTCTCCAAAATTTAACTTGTAAACATCATCATCATCATCATCATGATTACAAAATATCCCTAAATATTCAAAATATTGTCCAAAAACGTATAAAATTGGATGAAAATGGGTTATAAAGTTAAGGCTTACTTTGACGTTAAACCAGAACCAGTTTACCGTGCTCTACGTTAAACCAGAACCAGTTTACCGTGCTCTACGTTAAACCAGAACCAGTTTACCGTGCTCTAATATGAGCTGTTCTGTCCCTGCTGATATTTACAAGTAAACTTGTGATTAATGACGTCATATTAAACCTTGACTGAAACTTGAAACAAATCCTATAATTTCTAGAAGCATATAATCCTGAGAGTAATAGGATTAGAACCTGCTGGATAAACAAACCATAACATTCAATGCAATAAATCAAAGATCTAAAATTTGCAAGACGTCTTTCAAAACTACGAATAGTCTATGCCAGCAATCAAACCATGGTGTAAACACATCTCCAGTTTTTAGAGAACATTTTTTAATATAATTATTTTACACAGCTTTTAAAAACACAACAAAATTCAGGCCATTTTAACCCCGTAAACATTGATTATTTGAGGAATTTTTCAGAAGTAGCAGAAAATAAATATTTTAAATTTAATATTTGAAAACCGCGTTGAACAGAGAATAAATTTGAAATTTGTTGGAAATAAAAGTATAGTCAGTTGCGATTAGGGCAATGTTATATATCAATATTTTTTAATTTTGTAAAATGATTTATTTCAATAGTGGTTTCTAGACTAAAGTGAATTGTGCATTTCTACTGCAGGAAAGCATAAAGAATTTATCAGAATTCAACACTTTTTAACCTACAAAAACGACAATATCTTCCAAATTATTGATCAGATAAAGGTTTCAAAGGTACCGTAGTGAATCAGGCATTACTATCTTTGCATGAAAGGGTCACAAAGATTGGTTTAATGATTCTACAATAGACCTGATATATATTAATGATAATATACGTTAATATAAACATAATTGTATTTGAAATGAGGTAATTATTCATAATCTGGTGATAAACTTGTCTAATTGTATTTATTAAGAAACATATTATGAATATATTATGCAAATGTATCCTATCCTCGCTTCCTTTAAACCAGGGACTGTAAGCGTAATTACTTAATCCTCCATGCAAAAATGGCAATGCCAGATTTACAACGGTACCCTTACTAGCTTTGTCTGATAATGTATAAATTAGATATCTATGTTTTTGTTTCTTTAAACTGTTTATCTTCATTTGCGGCTTCTCTGCGAAAGTGACTAGCGCATTTCTTGCGTAAAAGAAGAAATGGAAAATATGAAGAACGACGGTATATTTCACATTTTTGATCAGATCACGGTTTGAAGGGTACTGTTGTGAATCGGACATTGCCATCCTTGCATGGAGAATCCCTTAAAATTACGCTTACAGTCCCTTTAAACAAAACTTGATTTTGAGAAATCAGATAAATCAGTGGAGAACCTCAAATGTGGTTTGTGTCTCTTTAAGTTCCTTAGATTTTTCCATTCCAAGTTCTTTGAGAAAATATTTATATTTAAATCCGATTTCAGATAACAAGCGGTGGTGGATAGAAAATATTGGAAACCTTTTCTACACTTGGTGTTTTCTCACAGTTTATTTTTAAGATTTACTCTGTCCACCGGAAATAATTCAAAAATGTCCAAGATTGCGTGATCAAGAAAACTAGGATAAAAGAACGAGAATTTAATTTAACACGAAAAATTCAGGAAAAATATTTTCATAATTTTCAGTTAACGCCCGAATAAAGTAAATATAATTTTACAAAATTGAGAAGTAGATAAGATTATAATTAATTATTACACGCTGTTTGATTTAAAGAATGTTGCATAAATGAATTAGAATAAAATGGTTTTTTTAATGTTTTTAGCACCGTCAAATCTCAGGTTCGTATTCTAGAAAAGAAGGTTGAATTTGTTTGAATATCTGATTTTGTATTTGCCCCGATTAATTTACCCCGTAAACATTATCGTCCAAGATGGAATTTAACACAAACTTAAACTTTCTTATCTCAATACCACCATAGTTTTAGTAGAAGTAACTATTTCCATTTACTGTTAGCGCCGATTAAAGGATTCATAACTCTGATTGGATAATAGAAAGAAAGATAGATGTTACCGCCAAACTATTTCTATTGGTTCAGAATAGACAACAAACACATCACTGAACCCTGATTGGATCAGGCGCTAATGAACTCGGCATACTGGAGTGATATCTAAGGTCTATGACGTTGGGTTGCAAATATATAGTGATTAGAAAACTAGAGTTTGTGACAAACACTCAATTCCTTTGTACTAAATGAGGTCAATGATGACGCATCAATAAAGAATGTTTAACAGGCAATGCGTACACAATTCACAATCCACTAAACATTCCTGTCCAGATCATTTTCCAATGGAATTCATGTTTTGGCAATAAGTTTTCTTTCCTTGCTAAAAACATAATCCTAAAATTTAAACACAAATTTTGTGCCCTAAATTTTTTTAAGGGTGTCAAAAAATTTCTTCCTTGGTGTTTAATTTTTAATCTACAAAAAATGAAATCTAATATGATCAAGTCGTACAGAGTAAATGTAATTTTTACGATTTGTTCCTGTTTTTGTCTGGTCAATTAATAATCCTAAACCAATGAAAAGAATCTTAAGAATCATAACATTTATATTTGTTCAAAATTTTTCTTAAAAAGATAAATATTAAAATATAGGGCGAAGGTCAAATATCATTATACAGATTATAGAAAACACCTGTAAATTAATACAAATACAAAGAATATACAACATTTTATTTTCAAGTCTCCCGATTTGTTTGCTTGAAACCATTACTTCATGTAGGATAAAGCAGTCAAATCAGCAAACTATTCCGAAGATGATTTCGAAGGAATTGAGTCTTTGCCACAAACTCAAAATTTTCTAATCCTTTTATCTTTGCAACCCGATGTTGTTAACCTTTGATCTTTCAAACTTAGATTGTCTAATCCCACATAATTCAAAATTTGATATATCTAAGGTCTACAACATTGTGTTGCAATGATAAATGAAGAATTAGAAAATCAGAGTTTGTGGCAAAGACTCAATTGCTTTAACACAATTATGTTGGTCAAAGCAATATTTGAGCCTAATTCTAAACCAGTGCATGGACTGGATTATGTTGAAATAGAAACGAGCCTAGAATTAATTTAAGGATTTGAGGAACTCGGGATTTGAGGAAACTAGTTCAGGAAAGAAATATTGCATTTAACAAAGTAAAAGTTCCTGAATAATTTTTCGACATTTAAGAATGATGATGGTGATAATAATTATAATGATATTTTCAAGTTAAAAATATAGAAAACATATTTATGTAAATATGCTTTTGTGTTTTGGCTATTGAATTTAGTTCACCACATTTACTTAATTTATTTAAAACTTAATTCTCTTTTATGTATATTATTTCTGCTATTTCTCTACCTCCTTTATCCACGAGCTTCTCCAGGAAGAACATAAGGGTAAGATTCCTGTAGTGCTCATAGTCCTGGGACTCCATCCTCTCCTTCTCCTTCTTACTCTTCTTCTACAGAAGATCAACGATCAACAGATCAATGAATCGATCAATGCTCTTATTGATTTACCAGGAGATCAGTTCATCATAGTTTATTAGGTTCACTCTTTATCAATTGATCTGACTGAAGATCAATTAATCAATCCTATTCACCATTAGATCAATCCATTGATCGGCCTATCCACCTGTGTATCAACAATTCAATCTAATCACCACAAGATCAACCTATCGATCTTATCCACATGTAGATCAATTAATCGATTCCATTTGCCTCTAATAAATCTAGTAAACTTGTAGTTGAATCAATCAATCAGCTGATATATATTCAGGGTTTAAACCTGGTGGTTGAGTGAAAATCAGGTTTTCGTTTAGAAAACCCGCATCACTGTATCCGGTGCCAGCTGTTCGACCACTAAACCCTCTTATACCTGAACACTCCACCCTGTACGGAGAGCAGGGGAGCATTTCAGGGGGGGGGGAATTTAGAGGGATACTGTTTTTGATAAAATTAAACCTTAAATAAAGATTTTTTGGTGGATTATAAATTTAATGAATAACAAATTTAGTTGGAGGATGGAAGGGGGTGGGGTGGGGGACTAAACCCTGTAGTACAGATATTATTAAACCTCGTCTTTCTCTACCGGCGTTTTTATGTTAAAGAAAAGCATCAAGGATTAGAATAAAAATGAAAAGAATTTTATAAAACTATTTATAAAACTTTATCATTCATACTCACTTGTTTTCTGAATTGTTAGAAAACTTGTTGTATTTATAGAATAACCATTGCTTCAAGGCCAAGCGCGTACACAGGATTTTAGCCAGGGAGGGGGGCAAGATTTCGCGCGAAGAACGAAAAAAAAATTTCTGCCCCCCCCTGGAATTGTTTTGATCAAAAAGTCAATTAACACCATAAAAATACACCAAAAAGACTACATTTTTGGGTGTTACTATCCTTACAGAGTCTAATAAAGCAAATGATT